ACCTCTGAAGCCTCCGCACGGGGTGAGACAGCACTGAGGGAAGAGTGAGGAACGAGCACAGCTTTTCAGTGTTGTGGCTTTTTTTTCCTTTGCCCCTTTTTGTTTTCCTTTTTTGTAGGCTGCGACGTCCTCGCGGTGCGGCAGCTGCACGCAGAGGTGACATTTCACAGCCCACCCTCGCTCGTGTGGCTTCCCGCTTGGACGGACATGACAAGGTGCGCGACGACCACGGGGCTGATGGTTGGCTTTGGTCAGTGCAGGGAGGCCACCACCATGGCATCACTGCCAGGGGTTGCCAGCAGGCACCTGCCTCAGGTCAGGGGCTTTGAGCACAACCCCACCTCTGTGGTGGCCGGTGCAGCACCCAGAGACTCTGGACCCAGATGTTTTACTTCAGGAATTGTTATTTTCATAGGCTTTGGTGGTGTTTAACCACTGTTAGCATCAGGGAGCTCATTATGTCTGCTTGGAGGCAGGCAAGAGCCTCAGCACAAGCAAGGAGGCCCCTCACATCCTTCCTGACACCAAAGATGTCACTGCTGCCTTTCTGTGATGCTCAAATGGGCAGCCAAAATGCAAAGACATGTCTAAAAAAGCCATTTCTCTCACCTGCTGTAGTCACAGACATTTCCTCAGTGTGCTTGTCACCCAAAAGCTCCCATGAGCACATGCTGGCAAACCAGTCTGTTTGCAAACAAGCTGAAAATATGCTTTTATATTCCCAGATATATATTTTCACCCATAGGAAAACTGACCATGTTTCCTGGAGTTGAGTGGCACAGCATGGCAGTGACAAGGTGACACTGTCCCTGCAACTATGGCCACTGGCACAGCCCCTCCATGCTGCAGTGAAATCAGGGCTGAATTCATCCCTGATGTGAGACCACTGCTTTCCCATGACAATACACCCCAATGAGGGTGTACGAAGAGTAACTCAAACAGAGTGATAAGTACAGGTTGTGCTTGTGAATGATTCATCTTAAATTGAGCTTGCTAGCAGGGCAGGGCAGAAGAAAATAACCTCACCCAGGTGTTCACAGAATGCTGTATCCTGGTTGAAGTTGAGGATGGGTGAAAAAAATAGCTCTCTAGATGCACACATTTCAGAAACAGAAATTAAACAAAAAAAAAATCACCAAAAATAAGAATTTTTCTTTTTAAGTTTCAATCAATCAGAATGTTTTCTCTTGACCGTTTCACAGTGCATGTCTTTCAGTTCTGACCTTTCATATAGTTTTTCCTTGAAAATATATTTTTTTAATTGCTTTAGCTTTTCCTTTTGAGGGACAGGCTTTTCTGACCAGCAAGTCACAGGGCAGCTCATGCCTGAGGCACTGCACCAAAATCTTTGATGGTAAAGCTGCAGCTTTTGGAGGCACCATGAACCTCTTGCCCTACAGCAAGACCCTGCTTCCCTGCCCAGCTTCTGAAGGGCTGAGAAAGCTTCAGAAAAATCTCAGTTGAAGAGGGACTGAAAACTTCCAGCACCATGTTTATGGCTTTCCTACCTTGTCATGCTGGTGTTCATTACCCAGTTTGCACGACTCTGAGGAGCAGGCCATCATACTCATTTTTTTTAAACCAGGTGTTAAAGTATTTGCACAAAAAGAAAGATTTGCTGCCTACTGCAAATGTGATTAATGTGGATGTCAATAAGGTGTAAGCAAAGCACTGTTGCCTTGCAAAGCTGCTGCTTATTTCTTCTCCTTTTCCAAACTACTTGTATTCCTGGGGATTTCATCTAACTTTCCTGTTCCTTAACCTATTCTCAATGTTAACAGCTGATTTCAGAAAAAACAAAATGTGTGTGTAGTTAGCTGGAGAGGAAAAGCAACCAGAATAATCGAATTCTGCAGATTTCATTGCTCCACTCATCAGATTTCAACTAAAACCAGGCCAGCTTGCACACTCCCAGCACTTTGCTGTAACAGAATCTATTACTGTAAAAGTGCTGTAATCACCCAATTTTGCCATAAAACTCCAGCTACTAGCCTCCAAAGCCCAGGCTTCCATATAAATCCCCTTATGGCCACTTCAACAAGGCAATACGCAGCTTTTAACAAGTAATGGAAATGCTGGATTTCAGAACAAGGAATACTAAGCAAGCACTGAAGCACCAAGCAGGATAAACCAAACCAAAGGACACTGGTGCCACTTGAAAGAAACCACGACACTGCTAGCACAGCTCTGCCCCACATCACTGAGGCTGGAGAAATCCTCTCTTCTCCCACACAAGCCATCTTCACTGCAGTTTTGCACTGCTGGCACCCAGTCAGACTCACACCAACTCCTCCATTTTTTATCCTTTGATTAAAAAAAAATGTTTAAAGTGCATTTAAATTGTTGTTTCCCATCCTATTTTGTACTGCTGCATATGCGCAGCAGGGCTGAGAAGGCCAACTGCAACCCAGAGAAGAAGGCTCAGGAGAGTAGCAGAAACAACACAGAAAAAAGCCTCAAAAGAGTGCTGCTCCTGTTTGGACATAGTCCCCATTGCTTTCCACTTAAATATGTGATTTCTTGAAGCCAAAATAGTGATTTAGCCTGAGCCTTGCTCTAAAGGATGATGGACTCTTCACTGTTTGCTTTTTGCATTGTGGTTTTTTTGAGAGTATTCAGCATATTCTGGACACCACGGTTCTGTGCCTTCCCTAAAACAATAGAGCTAGCAGTCCCTGCAGTACACTATGAAAATTTTATCTAAAAATACATGAAGGAAAGGAAGCACTTAACAGTGCTCTGAAATATTTGGTCACAAAAAACAGTCTTAGAAAGAGAGGCCTGCAGAGACATCTTGCTTTGTCAAGTCTACTTCCCTGCTATCTTAGCCAAACACATCAGAAACTCATTATACACCATCCTGAAAGTAGCTTGGGGTTGTGGTGTTGTTGTTTTCACTGTTCTTTCATTGGAAGGCAATTGCAGAATATTGCTACTCTCTTGTTTGGAAACCTGCTTCCAATTTTCATTGTAAATTTATTCATGACCAATTTATACTCACTTGTTCTTGTGCCAATGTCCTTTAGTTTAAGCAGACACCTTTCTCTTTCTCGAGCTTACGCCCATGCAATATTTATAGAGGCCTCCCTCAGCCTTCATTTTGCCAGATTCCTCTCACACTTGGGCTCTCTCTTCCCATGGTCACTCAAATTGTCTTTCTCAGTAGCTTCCTGAAAATGAAGTGAATCACTTGTTGTGGGTCTAACATGACAACAAAGAACTAGACATGTGGCCACTCACTCAACTCCCCCATTCTGAGATAAAGACAAAGGTCAACTAGAAGCTCATGGGTTGAGACAAAGGAGGGTTCTTCACCGATTGAGGTCATGGGCAAAACAGACCCAACTTGGGGAAAAATAGTAATTTAATTTCACAACAATCAAGTGCACATAGGACACAGACAACACAGAGAGCAGGGCTTGCATATGTTACCCCATCCCTCCCTCCTTCCTGGCCCCAAGTCACTTTGTTCCCTGCTTCCCCAGAGCAGCACAGAGGAATTGGGATGGGGTTTAGAGTCAGTTCACTGACTGTTGGTTCCTGCTGCTCCTTCCTCCTCAGGAAGAAAATTCTTTACAGTCCTCCCCTCTCCCATGGGAGAGAGTCCTCCACAAACCTCTCCTTCATGAGTCCTTCTCAGGAGTCACATCCTCAGGAGCAAGCTGGTCCAGCACTAGATTCTCACAGAGTCCCAGGCTGCTCCAGGAACAATCACATCCCCTGGCACGGGGTCTTCTACAGCTGCATAATCTGAGTCCACTGGTAGCAAATCCACACTCACTCCTCCTGGTGCCTTCAGGGAATGTTCCACCACGTTCCTTCATGAATGCAAGGGGACAGCTGCCATCTCACCATAGGTTTCAGGGAAACTTATTTCCTTTCTTCCTCACCAACCTCAGGATCTCCACCCCAGCCCTGCTTTCACCTCTCCAGCTCAGCTCTTTTCTAACTGCTTACTCTGCTCAGTCCTTTTGTATGTTACTCGCAGAAGCCCATCTATTGTCTCTCCCTAATGGCTCCTTGGCTGGGGTTGGAGCTGAAGGAGCTTCTCAGCTTTTACTGGAGCCACCCTTGGGGCCCCTCCCCTACTACAAAAAAAAACAGCCAAACAAAACCTGCACATTTGTGAATAGTGTGCACTATCCTGGCTGATAGCTAACATATGCCTCATACACCTTTACCAGCATTTCATTACCTGGCGAAAATATCTTGCTTTATATGTTCTGTCCTTTTTACCTGTGAGTAGAAACCTGGTTAACAAGATCCAGATGCATGAACCTGCACTCAAACACTTCTGAATTTCATCCAATTTATCCCATCCTTGTCCTCAAGGTCACTCAGTTCTTCCTAAATGATTGTTTTATTCTTCTCTGCAGTGACAGTACCTCCCTCCCTTATGCCACTGGTAAATTCCATTAGCACAAGCATATTTTTTATGGGATCATCATTAATAAAAAATGTTAAATAAAAGCAGGCCCAAGACTGGTGCTGGTAAGCTCTACTATCTCACCGCAGTACTGATCTTCTCCTCCTACTATTCACTTTCTTATTCACTTTTCAATTTCTATACTAATCTCCCATTTTAGCTAATAATTTCCCACATGGCACTGTACCAAATGCTGTACTTAAGTTTAGATAATTAGCTGTAAGAACTTACTTGGTCTAGAAAAATCAATGATGGTATTTCAGGTACCGGAACTTGTAGAAGTACCTGAGAAGTGCAGGTAGGGGAGACAAAATGAAATTACCTTAAGTTCTTTGAACACCTGCAAAGATTTAGGCTGATTTGCATTTTCAGATGAGCTGCTTCATTCATCCTTAGCAATGACATTTTCATACATTGCTGAATTTTATAACAATTCTGAATATTATATCACTAATGCAAGAGCATCGTTAAAATTCTTGGGTATTGTTATTTGACTGAAAATAAGAATGACCTCCAGGACCTTTATGAAATTAAAGCTGCTGCAGAACTGTTATAGGAAGGGCTTGTATAAAGGGCTATAAAGCCGGATAAAAAGTAAAATACCTGTGTTGGTAGTTTTGCTGATACAGCAGTAGTATCCTAAATGCCACCCCATAGAAGTACTGAAAAAGCAGCTTGGAAATCAGCAGCTATGACAACGTTTTTAAAAAAAGATTTAATTGGCAAAATGCCACATTAAAACACAGCTAACTTTAAATATGATTTTCATTATTTCGTGTCACTTTCATTTTTAGTGTAAACTAATAAAATATTCAGAGCAGCTGTATAGAATAGTATCTGCAAAAAGAGACTTGTTATTCATACAAAGTAATACTGAGATTCAGTAAAACATTGTTTAGGCTACAGAGTACCTGCAGAGTCATCATCATCATGCTTCCTTTTTGAGCTGAAATAAGAGGTTAGAAAAAGCAGGCTACAGTTAGCAGATGTGCAATTAGCTGTATGGTTCTCAGCGTCAATACAGGAGAATCCAAATAAATTTTATCTAAAGTAGATAGATTAGCTTATAAGTTTACAGCCTCCATGTTAGTCATGATATTCCATGTAAGTTGCTTGGGAAGAAAAATGGAAGGTGATTATAGTAAGTAAAGTGTGGATGCAGATGTGGGTCCCACCTTTATACTGCAGGGTACACACATTGCTCAGATCTCATTCTCTTTGAGAAAGGCCAACCTGTAAGACTGGGATAGTCACAGAACTGCTTAAATATTTGGGTAGTTTTGAGGGTGGTTGCAGATACAGGCTTTTGCCCCCTTCAGATTAAACGTATAGCCCAGGGAAAATCTCCTTACTTCAGAATATTAAGTCAAGTCCTCAAGTGGCACATCAGCTACTGTGAGGGCTTCTGTGCACTGCTCAGAACCTGAAAAAATGCACTTTCTCATCACCTAGAAATGGGGTTTTTGGTGCCATCGGGCAGAGTTGATTCTGGGGGAGGACCGAGAATCCGAAAGGTTATGGAGCTTTATGAATGAAACTCTTTAACCTTATCAACATTTATCTTCTAAGCACAGGTAAATACACATATACCATAAATGACGACATTTCACTGAACTTTAACAATATTATTTCCTCTGTGTGATCTCCCTGCTTACCTGTGCAGTTATTTTGAATGCTTTGCGAGCGAGAAAACACTAAAATTGAAAGCTACAGAATATGGTGAAATTCATAATAAAAGTTATCTGTGTTTTAATGTGGTTTCTTTTACCAGTTAATATTTTGTACTTCTTTCTCCAGAAGCAGGGAGACAGCTGGCTATTTTGCAGGTGCATGTGCATTACCAAGCAGAGATGCCATTTGTGATAATGTCAGCATAAGCAAAATTACCCATCAAAATTTGCACTTTTTATTTTCTGCTATTACTCTTTCAACAACCTTTTCCTGTAAAATTTGGCAGTGCATGGGTAATCATAAGCATCAGGTACCCAGCTGCTTTTGGGACCAGGACATCCATGTCTTTATTATTTAACTGAATCAACTTCAAAGTCGATAGGGTTAAATCATACTATCGTGGGTAGAGAAGATCAGGAGTGAAGTTGAGCCCAGAAAGAAGGGAGAGGTGGGGGGACAGTGCTCCAAGATTTGGTTTAATTTCCCATTATCTCTGATTTGGTCACTAATAAATTAAACTAATTTCCTCAAGCTGAATCTGTTTTGCCCATGATGATAATTTGTGAATGGTCTCTCCCAGTCCTTACCTCGGTCCATGAGCCTTTCCTTATATTTTCTCCTCCCTGTCCCGCTGAGGAAGGGAATGGTAAGAGAAGCTTCAGTGGGCACCTAGTGTCCAGACAGGGTCAACACACCAAATATATATAAAGACACTCTCAGGGAGGAGTAAATGTCCATTCTGGAGCTCTTCATGGATCCATTCCTGTGCAAGCAAGTCTGAAGTTGAATATAAGCTTTAGAAACTAGATTTCCAAGCAACACATGTACATGGTTAAACTTGATTTGCTGACATCCTATCTGAGTTCCTAACAGATATTTATCTGAATAACAACAGCACCATGTAATTAGGCATAAATAAGGGCCTTTGTTCTAGAGGAGAGGGAAGTTTATCAATTCAGAACCTTATGCAATTGCGTGTCTAATCTCTGCCTGCAATTATTTCAAATGCACATCCAGAAGACAATATTTGTATTCATTCTGAGATTCACTGAGTTTCAGGCCGGAAGGGATCATTATACCATCTGGCCTGACCTCCTGGATATCACAGGCCATTACATTTCCCCAATTACCTCTATATTGAGCCCTGTAACATGTGTTTGACTAAAGCATAAGTATTTTTGACTAAAGCTTATCTCCCAGAAAGGCATCTAGTCTTGATTCAAAGCCATCAAGAGGAGAGAACCACTACTTTGTGGGCACTTTGTTTCAATGGCTAATCACACTCACTATTAAAAATGTAGGTCATGTTTCCAATTTGAATTTGTCTGGCTCCAGATTCCATCTGCTGGATCTCATTACACTTTTCAGATTTAAGTTTAAAAGCCCATTGGTACCCATTATTTTTCTCCCTGTGTAAGTGTTTATCCCCTGGAGTCGAGTGGCGTCTCAAATATTTTCTTTTGGGTTTGTTATTTTTTTTTCTAATAGACTTCACTGAATTCTGAAAACTCACAGGGTAAAGGATTTTCTCCAGTAGTTCTTGTCTGTGTATTTTTATTTACCTGGTATATACTTCAGCAGTGCCCAGCCCCTTCTTGTGGTGCCAGTGATGCACTCAAGGGGCAGGGTTCTCCATTGCTCTGGAGGCACACACTGCATTGTTTTCCTGTTACAAACCTCTGGTCTATAAAAACTGCTCTCCTTCCCCGTACACAGCTGTACATGAGGCAAACTACATTGTGCTGAAGTTTCATAAATACAGAGTTCAGTGTGTACCATCTGATCCCAATGGAACCAGTTTATTGGATAATCCAGGTTTCTTTTATGACTGCCTTCACTTCATCATCCTACACCATCAATTTGTGATGATGCACAAACTGCTTCACCTGAAACCAAACATTGCTCAAGGCAAAAGAAAAATGTGCCGCATGCACATTCCTGTTTTCAGCGCAAGTTTCCAATACTTTGAGATTCCAATCATAAATCTACCTGTAACAGCACAAAGGGAAAATATAGAGAGTTGGATTTTTTTAATATTTAGGTATTAGATGGTTTATTAACCTGGTATAAACTGTTAGAGATAATAGTTCAGTACAGCCCTGCATGTATTCTCTCATTGTACTAAGGAGAGATTTTTCATTTAATAAATAATTCAAAATCTATTATTGTTTTGTTCCATTGGTCTCAGTAAAGAGACACACACAGACACTTCCACTCTGAGTATTTTGTACAATGAGCAAACTGGCAGTGGAAACATAGAATCATGGAATTACAGAATGGTTTTGGTTGGAAGGGACCTGAAAGATCATCTAGTTCTGGTCCCCTTGCCAAGGGCAGGGCCACCTCCCACTAGAGTAGGTGCTCTACTCCACTGCTTGCTCATTTCACAAGCCAGGATGTCAGCAAATCAGACGCAATCTCAAGATGGAAAAAATAACTTATTCTGGTTATACTTTGAAAGTTTTGCCCTAGTATTTTGGGCACAGATTGCTTTTCTGGCCTGTATCACAGACTGCAGCAAGAAAAAAAATACATTTTTGTCCTAAAAAAATTACTAGAACTGAAGTATTTGTGCTGCTTATGTATTTTAAAATACAGGTGCATATTACATTTCTTTCTTTTTCCTGACAGATCCTGAGAAATGTCCTCATTAAGCTTTACCTTTTCCCACTGCTGAAGGACTGCAGTAGAGTTTCTTTGCTTCAGCTCGGGAAACAAAGCTTGCACTGGACTCCAAGCCAGGCTGTACCGTAAGCTACACTGCTAGTAAGATGATGAGCACTTCTTAACCTGTTCTGATGCAATCAACAGCAGCACTGCCTTGCTGGTAGTGCGAGCAGGTGAAGCGCCTCTCGGCAGACAACAGGAAGCATGTGTTTTTGGAGAGCAGCAATCTCTGGGCAAGGACTACCCAGCCTTCACCTCCTGGCCCCTTCCCACGCTGCAGGGCATGGAGCACAGAGGAGCAGAACCCTGCAGATCTGGCATCTCCGAGCAGCGCCGTGAAAGTCTGTGGGTGGACTAAACCCACGTCCTTTTCATTTCACTATCAATTGCAGACTAAATCAAATACAGGGAGAGAAAAGAGCAAATGAAATTGAGCTGGCCAAGACAACAACATTTACATGCCAGGAGAAGCTCTTACTCTTCATAGCACTGTCACGGCTCTATGCATTTAAGGCCATTCCCTAAGGCAGATGTGGGTTTTCCAAAGGTTAGAAGCTAAGCAGATGAAGTCTGGGTGATGCAGAGGATCCACGTAACTCTGGGTCACTGCTTTCAATCCATACCAGATGGGTACCCTCTGAGAGCCAGCACTCTCATGCAAGTGCCTGCAGAGAACCATCTCCCCCTGGGCTGGCTTCTTTGGCAGTCCTATCAGTTGGGAAGCCCAAGCATGGCTGAACCCTCCATGCCAGGCTCAAGGTGAGCCAGAGGGACAAGATGAGGAAGGCTGCGTATGGTGGCTTGCTATTCTATTTTAAGATAAATAAAAATGCCTCAGGCACCAAGGCATAATGTTTACAAGCTGAAAGGGAAGCCTTTGCCTTTCTCTCCCTGGACGGGTCTCTTGGTTCATGAGCTACACCCAAGTTGTGTCACTGGCCAGTGGGGAGCAGGAGAAAGCTTGAGGCACCACAGATGTCATCCTCCCTAATGTCAAATGGGAAGGTTTATTTGAAGATGAAACTTGCTGCTTGACTTGGCGTAACACACCCATGAAAGGTTGTTAGCAGGTCTATATGAAGTGGATCCCAAGTTCCAGCTAGGATAAAGAGCCCCCTGCAAGGCTTCTGCCCTGGTGGGATTGGCTCCTAAAAACCAGCTGTGAAGTAATTCACACTTGAGTCTTGTTTTGTTTTATTTGTATATAGTCATCATGGTTTCCATGGGAATAATGTCTAAGCACCCTGATGGTGTTTGTGGACAGCATCCTCATCCTGACCTCCTTGCCTGGGTGAGATCATTCTTTTCTCTCTCTGGGACCTCATATTTGCAGGTTCCAACAGTCCTTTTTCTGAGAGAACTATCCTCTAAAATATAACTGAAAGCCCTCACTTCTAGTGGTACAAGAAAAATGCTTATGAAAAAATGAGACCAGATTGGTTAAATACATTTTTTTCCCAGTGCTTATCAGAAATCCCTTTACAGCAGAAATGTTACCTGTGTCTGAACAATTTGCACTCAGGCTTTCCAACCTGTAGTTCAAAAAATGTAAACATTGGGCCATTAAGATTTAATTGCTTTTTATACTCTCAGTGGAAGCTTTTACTA